AACAACAACAACAACAACTATGTGAAAGGCACTGGGGTGAGAGCTTTAGAAGACACTGAAGTGCCAACTTTTGGGTAGTGACCCTGCATTGCAAGAAAATCTGTTAGATATCTAATTAGCTAATATTTCAAAGTTAGGAGTCATTGTAAGTGATTTTTAGGGCTATGATAATTATTTCAATGATTTCAATCTATATTCTCACATTCTTTTCCATAAATATTCATGGTATGGTATCTGCCTTTCCCTAAGCCTTCATTTTCTTATCTGTGAAATAGGAACAATAATAGTATCTTCGAAGGGAAGGTTTATGAGGATTGCTAATCCATGTTAAATAATAAGCACAATTTCTGATACATAGTTAATATTTGGCAAATATTAAAACAGAGTCGTTCAAAACAAGGTTGGGCAATTCTACTTCCATAGTGATATAGTGATACTGTCTCAGAAACCCAAGGAGGGGTCGCTGTGAGTCAGATCCGACTCAAGGGCAATGAGTTTTTAGTTCAAAACAAAGAAAAAGCTCTATGTCGCTGCATTGAAATTGAAAATAAAAATTGTAAAGAGAATAATTTAGCCATTCAACTGGCATTATCCACAAATAATGCCAAACTACACAATGTTTTGATGCAGTTAATTAAAACTCAAAACCCTTCATAATAACTGCATAACTCTAATAACTGGACTGACGGAATTCTAATTGTTTTCACCTAGTTCATTTAGCACCATGTACCACCATGAACTACTCTAATGGAAATCAATTTCTCTACACAAGCCTAGTACTTTATCACTCAGAGGTACATTTATTATTGTTAATTGTTACTAATATTAATAATAATTTGAATATAATGGAAGCTCTTTGTCCTCAAAATTATAAACGTTTTATTACATTATTGAGTGAATTTTATGCTATTTAGCTTGTTCAAATGAAAATCTCATAAGATGAGATTGTCTAAATGATTAGTTAAAACAATGAAAATGAATGTTAGAAGAAGATGAAAATAAATAAGTGTTATTAAAATTGTAATGGCTCAGGAGCAATATGTTTCTCCCTGTTATTCGGGGATTCATTTCTAATATTTACCATTCACTGAATTTTTTAATAAGCAAGAGTGCTTCAGAGTGAGCAATTTCAATATAAAAATGTATATTGGTGCAAGTAATATATTGAGTCTGATTGCTTTACAAAAGATATTATCATTTTGTAAAGAAAATGCATATACCCCCTAGTGTGTTTAAAATTCATAAAAATTCAATATACCCAAACTTTTCAGAAGCACATTTCATATCTTTAGCAACTAATCAAGAAATGTATGTATTTTATAATAACACTACTTAACCCTTAGAGTGTTGTATGCTTGGCACTGGTCTGAGCACTTTGTATTATTACCTAATTTAACCCGTTAGATAACCGAATAGTAAATACTCACTCTTACTATTCTCTGCAAAAGTAGTATTTGGCAGCAGTAATAGAAAAATAATATTTCTTTCTCCATAAGATTTCTTTTGTATGGAGTTTAAAATCTACTTATGAGAATGAGACATGAACACACAAAAAAAGAAAATAACATTAAATAAAAGGCACAGGTTATGATAAGCTAGTGTCTGATTAACTGTCAATTAAATGATGTGCTAAATGCAATGAGGTCAAAGGAGGGAAAATTCTGACCAAAGAATAAAGCCCAAATCACACCTACTGCCCTTGAGTACTTCTAACTCCTAGTGATCCTATAGGACAGAGTAGAATTTCTCCATAGGGTTTCCAAGGCTGGAAATCTTTATGGAAGCAGACTGCCTCATATTTCTCCTGCAGAGCAGCTGGTGGGTTTGAACCACCAACTTTTTTTTGTTAGCAGCCAAATGCTTTATCCACTCACTATGCCACTAGAGCTCCTTATCTCAATAATAATAATAATAATAATAATAAAACTCACTGCCATTGAGTCGTTTCTGACTCATACCAACCCCCACTGGGTTTCCTAGGCTGTAAATCTTTATGGAAGTAGGTCACCCCGTCTGCCTTCCACAGAGCAGCTGGTGGGTTTGAACCACTGACCTTTCAGTTAGCAGTCAAGTGCCTTATCCACTACATCACCAGCTCCATAGCCAGCCAATAATAGTACTAAAATTTTATTAGCAAATATTTTCACCAGGAGCTGTTCTAAAGTTGTACTCTATGTGTAAAAACTCATTTAATCCTAGCAACAATTTTTAAGATAAATACTATTATCCAAGTTTTGTTTTTCATTTACTGAAACTTTCTCACATAGGCTAAATTATACTTTTGTTATACTCTAGAGAATAAGTTTAAGATATTTATTAGTCCATTTAAAAAAAAAGTCTCTCTCTGATTTGAACTATGTGGGTAGTGCAAATGTTGAAGCACTTGGCAACTAACGAAAAGGTTGGATTTTGAATCCACCCAAAAAAGTCCTGAGTGGTGTTGCTGTTAGGTGCTGTCGAGTTGCTTCCGACTCACAGCAACCCCATGCACAGTTGAACAAAACACCGTCGGATCCCACGCCAGCTCCATGATCCTTGCTGTACTTGAGCCCATTGTCGCAGCCACCATGTCAATCCATCTTGTGGAAGGCCCTCCTCTCTTTTGTCGACCCTCCACCTTACCAAGCGTGACATAGTTCTCCAGGGAATGGTCCCCTCTGACAACATGACCAAAGTAGGTGAGACCCACCCAGGATCCCAGCCACTGAAAACCCTATGGAGCATAGTTTTATTCTGACACACATGGGTTTGCTATGAGTCAGAATCGACTCTATGGTAACTGATTTGGTTTCTGGTTTGATTTGGATTATAAAGAGGACAAAATAAGTTCCAGGTAAATGAATATACAGGTGAGATCAGGTGGGGATAGGTGAACAGGAATATACTTTAGACCAAGGATAGATTTGGCTGAAGATAATCTTACATATGTCCTTGTGCTACAAAATTAGCCACATACATTACAAAAGCAACATAAGACAGGGTTGGAGTAGCTTTTCAGAGACTACCAAACATCTTCTGAGAGACAATCACTGAGCCTGTGGGTGTGGGACCACATTCTCAGGGGACATCGTGCTCAGTTGGCACAACATAGTACATAAAAATCTTGTTCTGCCTCCTACTTTGGAGAATAGCAACTGGAGTCTTAATAGCCTTCAAGCAGCTGTCTAAGATGCAACTATTGGTTTCCTTTTGTCTGGAGCAGAGAAGAGTGAAGAAAATCAAGGTCATCTGGAAACAATTAGTCCAAAGATAAGATGAACCATGAGGATCTCAGCTTTTAAGACATTGAGACTAGAAGAACTAGATGGTGCCCGGCTACCAATCTCACCTGCTCAGAAAGGGATCAAAACTGGAGATCCTAGATAGAGTGAGAGAGAAATATGTGGAACAAAATTCAAAAAACACAAAAATGATGAGAATTACTGGTCAGGTAGAGATTGGTGGAACACCCAGTATTATGGCCCCTTGAGGCCTGGAAATGGACTCACTTCCATGGTTTGGCTCTCAGTCCAACAGTAGAAAGACCTACATGCAGAACACCTACCCCAGGGAAATGCACCCACCTACTC